TTAAAACAGTATTTTTTATCCAGTTGCCTTTAAAAAAATAACAAATGTCAAGAATTGACTCTAAGATTCCTCTTTCAAAACTCACATACTCAAACATTTTGGAATTTTTACATCTAAATTTAAAGCTATTCTTTCCGAAATTAAACATTTGAACAATATAAAATATCTTTTTCTATATTTTCATTTAAGTTCGCTTCGAGCAATTTCATAGATATCTTTACTACTTAAACCTCTTTTAAGATGATTCAAGGAGGTGAGAGCGCGAACTCCTGGCCAGCCCTCCACCGAGGGGCGCGGTCTCCCTCCCGCCCCGCGAACCCGAGCTGAGCTGGCGTGTGAGCTCCTCTGAGCAGCAGAACGTGGCCCTGCAGCCTCCATTCCCACCGCCCCCAGCCCACCGCGTGGAGGAAGCCGGAGAAAACAGCACACGGACAGAGGGGCCCCGTTCGCAGCAGGAACAGCCGCCGGACTTGTGGATGAGGCCACTTAGGACAGCCCACTGGCCCAGCCGCCACACAGCCGAACACGGCAGCTGCGTCCAGCCCCACGTGCCCCTCCACAGAAGCACACACAGGTCAACGGTTGTTGCTTTAAGCTACCGACTTTTGGAGTAATTTTATCAAGGAACAATAAATATGGATAGAACCACTTAGCAAGGGTATAGTTCGAATTACAGAAGCCGTACTCTCAGGGATGTGGTCGTGATTTAAAAATATTAGTACCAGATCTTATTTGGTAACTTTAAAAATTAGACATCTGCTACGCAATGCAGCTTATGGGAATGAAATAAAGAATCGGAGATAACTAATGATTGAGAATAATCTCCAAGGCAGAGTATTAAATAAAGTGTACGCTCTGATTTCATTTTTGTCAAAAGGATGAGTGTGTGCGTGTGTGTGCACACATACACATACACACACACGCACACTCATACACACACGCGCACACCTTACGCAAACGATTTCTGGCAAGATTTACAAGAAACTGGTAAACAGATGTTTACAAAGAAGAGAACTGAGAACTGGGGGAGTCGGAGGGAAACCACGCGCCGGACACTCTT